CCCGAACCGACGGCGCGAAGCGCCGTGCGAGGGTACTAATTCCCCCCGGCTATTTACAACCGGGGAAACGAAAGCATTAGCGGAGTCTAAAGTTCATCAAATATCGCGGGCGTGGGTCACCAACGGTGTTGGGTGGGTGGTCATCCTCACTGACCTAAAAAAAAGGCGGACTGTCATGAATAGTGGACACTGATTGGTCCAATTTAAAGTTTGCATAAACGACTGCATCACGACAGCGAAATAGCAAACATTTCTTGATTTGATGATTCATGATTGATAAATTTCTTGCGAATATATTTCATTTTTGCTCGCATTTTTGCAATATTTTGTAAATTTCAAAAGCTCTCTGAGAAAGAAACTGCGAAAGAATCGGCTAAAGGAAGGGAGCCGACGTTAACGAAGGTAAGTTTGTTTTAAATATTGATTTTATAACGGCTTTAAAACCCGACGGCCTTTGCGTATATGAAACAACTAAACAAGACAGAATATAATTTCAGTGTATCTTTAATATTGATTCCCTTTTTTATTATATTGAATTTTTTAAATAAAAAAGAAAGCAAAGTTATTTGCAAGCGAGAATTTGAAATCGTTTTATTGCAAACTCAAAGTTTATCGATAAAGCCATTTAATTAAAGGCAGTTTAGTTAAAGAGCACTTTAAAACGTTTTGCGAAGCGTTTGTTGTTGAATTTTACCTTAAATTGAGGCTTATATTACGTATAATAACATACCTAACATATATATGTTGGTAAATTAATAATTTTGTAATTAAAAGTGATATTTTTAGGCGATTTTTCATTTGTAAGAATATTCTTAAAAAATTATCTATTACCATGACAACTAATTTAGAACATCATGTTCGGAAAACACAATGGTTTTGTCAGCAAGGCGAGGGTTTCTGCATGCATGTATTTTCGAGTAAACAAATAATAGATGCAAAGCGACTTCATTATACGGACTGCATTGATAGAAATAAGAATAATACTAAACAAATGTGGAAAAATATTAATAACTTGATTAATAAAAAATCTAAATCCACAAACGGGTCTCTGTAAAGAACGGAAACCGAAACGACCGAATCCGGAAACGACCGAAACCGGAAATTTCCGCTTAATTTCCCCCTAAAATTGCCTAAAATTCAGCCTGCGAGCAGGCTCACTAGCAAAACCCGCACTGCTAAACTCGAAGCAATCAGCGTCGACTGGGATAATAAACAAAGATTGTCAACCATAGCTGTCAGCAGTGAAATTGACGCAGGGCGTGAAATGTACAACGAATGAAATGTATAAAACAAGTGTAACTCCAAAGATCGATAACATTTTTATATTTATCAACGTTTCGACTATATTTCAGTCATCATCAGGATAAAGAAATTTATATAACAATAGTACGAAGCATTAACAAGCCGCACAATATATTAAATATAGGCTCCAGATAATACATTACGAGTTAATCAATACACATACAAATTAAAAGCCGAACCAAATACTACCATTGGCATTGATTGAATGTAATAATACTTGTACTACTTGTGATTGAAAGAACAAAGTTCTGAATATTTGAAGCTATAAAATGCGGTCAGATAAATTGGGCCTTTGAATGCGTTTAAATGAGCATGCATTTATTTTTTCGAAATCACGAGCGTGACATTTTAGGCCGATGGAATTAAGGTATCAGTTTACCGTCACCTAAAATTTCAAAAGTTGATGCGGATTTTTTTCATTATTCATTATTCATTATTTTTCAGGATTTGAATTTGTCAAATTTTGACCTAAAAATCCGAATTTTGACCGAAAAAATCCAAGTAAATTTTGACGATTCTTGAGCTTTTTGCTAGCTTCCGAGCTATCAGCCATGTCTTTGACTCCGTTTCGCTGTGGCTTCGCTACGCAGGCTATGACTTCGCTAACTGTATAAACAAAGTCAGTTTTTGCCAATAATTTCAACAGAAAGCCATTTTTGAAAAACTTGCTCTACAAATTTGACAAATAATGAAAAAATATTGAAATAATGAAAATTTCACGCGGCTGCCAATAACACACGCGGGCGGGTGACGGTAAACTGATACCTTAATTCCATCGGCCTTAGTGGAAGTCAAATGATAAAGTGAATGCAATATCGTTTTTATTAAATTAAACAAAACCAGCATTGTTCAGGAAGTTAATAATATGTAGTAAGATTATTAAATAACTTACAAAATTGTCAATTGTCAGCAGTTAAATAGTATACAACCTTACGACATTTGGACGATATTTATCTAAAATGATATGCCATGCGTCGAGTCATCGAGCATCAACAATATAATTATTCGTTATGCTGAAAATTTAGGCGGGAATTTCCGGTTTCGGTCGTTTCCGGTTTCGGTCATTTCCGGATTCGGTCGTTCCGGTTTCCGTTCTTTACAGAGACCCTCCACAAACATTTCATCATTGCAAATTAACGATCAAGTAGTCACTGAAAGTTCGAGCATGTCAAATCAATTTAATGAATATTTTACCGATATTGGACCAACTTTATCAAGCCAAATTCCGGAAACTAATGTCAGCTTTAAAACGTACATGAAATTTAGTGCTCAAAAGGAGTTTAACATCTCAGACATTCATATTCAGGAAGTTCTTAATGAAATTAGTATTAAATACATCTAAGTCGGTGGGGCCTGACAATATTCCAGCCAAACTTGTAAAGGACTCGAAAGATGTTGTGGCCCCTTTTTTAACATTGATTTTTAATTCCTCCGTAAGTAATGGAATTTTTCCTGATGATTTTAAAATGCCAGAGTAAGTCCAATTCATAAATCTGGAAACAAAGAAGAACGAGGTAATTATCGACCTATTTCTATACTCTCGATAATTGCAAAACTGTTTGAGAAGCTTGCTTGTTCGCAACTCAATATATATTTTTAACCAAAAATAATATTCTGAGCCCTTATCAGTCCGGTTTTCGAAAAGGTCACTCAACCAACTCAACCACAACAACTTCAACTTCAACTTTATTTAAACCCGGTACTATTTCACAGTATATTAAAATATATTATTTACAAAAACAACCAGAAAAAAGTGATCGTCCAATAGGCCTTGTGCTAACTACTATAAATATAAAAAAATTTTATAACTTAACATTATATCAATCTACATTGTTTTACCCCACTCTTAAAAGTTGCTATACTTCCTAACGACTTCAGGTCAATTGGGAGAGCATTCCAAGTCTCCGCACCTCTGTAGGCCAATGATTTTTTCATAGCATTAGTATTTGGCATTGGTAATGTATAATTAAATTCACTATGCCTAGTGTTATAATTATGGACTTCTTGTGTATTGATGAAAATATCCTGCAGGTAGTTTGGAAGCATTTTATGTTTAATCTTATACATTAATGTAGCAAGTTGTTGTTCCCTTCTTGTTTGCAGATCTGAAAATCCTGCCCTGATTAGAATATCTGTTGATCGCGTTTCATATCCTTCACGGGTAAAAATACGAAACGCTCTATTTTGGAGACGCTGAAGTTTATCTGATAAAACCTTTCCTAGGCAACCCCAAACTTGTGAGCAATAATCAAAGTGTGGTTGGATTATTGATTTATAAACAGTTATTACAGTATTATAATCAACAATATCCCGCAGTCGTCTAATAATGCTGAGTCCTGAGTTAACTTTTTTTGTAATTTTTTCAACTTGGGCCGACCAGCATAAAGTATCATCAATCATTAGGCCAAGCGACTTGGTCGCATTAACCTTTTTAATCTCTTTGCCTCTCACACAAATTGAGGGTTCTTGGACTATTTGGCCAA